ATTCTGGGTGGAGTTTGCATGTACTCTCTGTGCATAAGTGGGTTTTCTCCGGGTACTCCGGTTTCCTCCCACAGACCAAAAACATGCATGTTAGGCTGATTGGTATAACGCTAAATTGTCTTTAGGTATGAGTGAGAGAGTGAATGGTTGTTTGTCTCGTTTGTCTCTGTGTGGCCCTGTGATGGACTGAAGACCTGTCCAGGGTGTACCCCACCTCTTGCACAGTGATGGTTGGACATGGGCACCAAGATAATGAATTAATGGATGGATGGATGGATGAATGGATGGATAAATAAATGAATGGATGGATGGATTAAAGCAAAAATGCAACAACAAAATACAATGTTAGCTAATATGTACTTGAAACTTTAGACAACAAATTGCTGTTTATTTTACCCAAATAAAACAAAAGGAGTTTATGTGTGTGTATATCACCTCTAATTTCCATCTTCTGCAAAAACTTCCACACAATATTATCTTTTAATTAGCTTGAAACCACAGCACCAGTCCAGCACTCTTCCATTTACTGGAGAGATAACTAGAGAGGCAATCAGGCGGACGAGCCAAAGCGCTGCTGTTAATTACCCACACGCAAATAATGAGACAAGGCCTCTTATTAGCTTCCACAATCCAAAGCTTCCCTACAATCCACTGCTTTGCCAGGTCCCCATGGCTTCCTGAAAGATTTGCTTTTTAAAACAGAGGAGAAGAAGCTTATGGCTTCACTGTATTTTTAAGCACCTGCTCAGGCAGGATGTGCTCATGTTGGTGGACAGTGAACAGGCCTTCGTCTCAGCAGTCCTTTAACAAACTGAGTTCACAACAAATAGGCAACAGTTTGGTGCTTGCTAATCCACATCAAACAAAAGACAAACACGGTGTTGGAGTATTTATTTAAAAAATCTAACTCTAGTACTCCATTAAGTTGTGTACTAAACAGTACCAAGTACCCTGTACTAAAGCACTGAATCTCATTGCTGCTTGATAATACACAGGAAGAAAGTTATAAAATAAAAAAATGAGCTGATGAGAGCTTTGTATCTTTTATCACATTCATATGCTTTACTTCTTGTTTGTGAAGCATTTGAGAGGCCATTCACAAACATCATCGTTTTCAAATTGTCTTTTGACCTCCTTCATAACATTACTTGTCCTCGAAAATGAAACTCAAATCACTTTTAACAACGTAGAGAGCCTGGACTGTGTTCAGAATTAATAGCATCTCGGCTGCAGAGCCCTTTGACACCAATGCTGAGATAAGCCAATAAGCCTAGCCTGACCTGAATAACATTGTAAAAAATCAAATCACTGACAGCAATACAGTTGACACCTTCGCAGTCAGAGGTCTCTACTGAGACTTGGGAAGCAGCGATGACCTGCTGAGGTTTCCTTCTAAATATTTACGTAAACATAAACAGAGAGTGGGCTCTTTTAACTAAATGACACTTGAAACCCATTGACTCGATTAACACAAATGTCATTATTAGCCAAACATATCATTAATGAACATTTGCTTATAATTAAGAGCATTTAATGACTAAATAATCAACAAAAACGAGTAATTATGGGTGCAGGTTCTGAGCGATTTCAGTCATTTTAGCAGAGATACCTGTCTGAGTTTGAGGTAGAAAGTCTCACTGAAGGTCTTTCGGCTGAAGTACCAGAAGCGTTCATTCGATGGGTAGACCCTGGCGAGACTTTCCAACAGGAAGCGAACAGGCTCCACCACTTCTGTCACTACGAGGTCCACTGCCACGGTCATGTAGACCTGCTTATCTGGAGCCAACCCAAAAACAGATAAAACAGGACAAAAATGGAAGGTTAGTCAAAAAAAAATCAAAAAAATGAATTCCTATTTTAGTTTTTATAATTTAAGTAAAGACTTAAAAATTTCATCATTCAATTCTAAAGAGAAAGAGAAGCGCAGCTTTAGTTTGCAAAACTGTACATTTTAACGTTACAAGAGTTTAAATTTGAGCTCAAATATTTACAAATAAATTGTACTCCAATGCAGAGAATCAACAATCATACTGTATTCTGTTGCTGTGGGGATCTTACACCCCCTACTGAATAAAAAAGATGACATCATCTGAAAACTTTATCATCTGAAGTTTTCTGTCAATTCAAAGGACAGAATGAGTCCAAATGATGAGTTCAATGATGAGTCCAAATACAGAGAGAAGTGGTGACGAGACAATAATCTCTGCATCAGTGTGAAGAAGACCAAAGAGATGGTGGTGGATTTCAGAAGGGACAAGGATCCTCTTCATCCCCTACACATCGGAGGAGCAGCTGTGGAGGTTGTCTCCTGCTACAGGTGCCTGGGGGTTCATATAGCTAGTGACCTCACCTGGAGAGCCATCACTTCCTGTCTGGTCAAGAAGGGCCACCAATGTCTCTACTTCCTCAGGAAGCTGAAGAGAGCTGGACTTGGAAACTCTGTCCTGAGGAGCTTCTATCGCTGTGCGGTGGAGAGCGTCCTCTGCACCTGCATCACCGTGTGGCACGGCAGCTGCACTGCTGCAGAGAGGATGGCTCTGCAGAGGGTGGTTAAGGTTGCTCAGAAGACTGTGGGAGCAGCCTTCCCACCACCTCGGACCTCTACACTTCACGGTGCAGGGGGAGGGCACTCCGCATCATGAAGGACTCCACTCATCCTGCTCACAGTCTGTTCCAGCCCCTCCCCTCAAGCAGGCAGCTGAGGAGCATTCAGAGCAAGACCACCGGGCTCAGAAACAGTTTCTTCCCTGCAGCTGTCAGACTGCTGAACTCGAGCTGCACTTAATTCAACTCCATCTTACATTTTTTTTAACTTTATTTATTATATATATTTCTCCTCTTTTGTATTTATTTATTTGTGAATTGTTAGGTTTCTTGATCTGGGACCAGAGTCTGAATTTTGTACCATAAACATGAAAATGTGAGCTGGTATGACAATAAAAAAATCCTTGAATCCGTGAAGTGCTCAACGTACTGCTCGGCTGATCCTTTCACTTTTAACCAAACACAGTTTACTTTAAAGAACAAAACTTTTAATTTAAAAATAAATAGACGTATAACTTCAATCAAATATAGAAAACAGAAAATAGATTATAATTTTAATGTCATTTTTAAAGAAATTATTAAATTTCAAGTCAATTATATAATCTAACTCTGCAGGCAGTTAATTTGTTCAGTTTTTAAGTTATTGTATATAAAAAAAAAAAACAGTGAACTCAAAATGATGTTTTGGAGGATCCCAACTGAGAATACAGAAGGCTTTCTTTAAGAGATATCTAAAAACGGTTGTCTTCACATCTACATGAATAAATCAGCCTTTTCGGGCTTAATAAAACTTAATGAATGTTTCTGAACAAGCTGCAGGAGGCAACTCCATTTTAAAAGTAGAAATACAACATGTTTGGAATATTTTGTACCAATTTTTGTTCTAAATGTTAAGTTAACCATTATGCATAAATTCATCAGAATGATTTAGAAGCTACATTCAGAAGAAGAACATTATGACCACCTGTCCAAAACTGACTAACTCCCACCTTTTGTCACCGATGAATACTGCTGTTGCCATGTTGGAGGAGTGATTGGTCTGCAAAATGTTTAGGTGGGTGGTAAGTATCAAATTAATATTTTTGTGAATGCCAAGTAGAACAGTAAGTAGAACACTGGGTTGTAACAAGATCAGCAGTGGTTCCTAATTGCTTCACTGGTTTTAAAGTTTACAAATCCAACAGTATTTTGAGCTGAATACAGATAATAAACATTATGTAGATTGCATATTACAAAAACGTCTTCCATGTCTACGTTGTTAAATCAACCTGTCTGAGTAGGAGCCTCAACATGCAAAAATAAACACTGCTCTTTCTAGAGGTGATAAGAGAATCTCTTTATCTTCAGTGTTGCTTTGCTGCTTAGTGCAACGTGTTTTCTTGCTTCACATATCAAAAACATGCTAGGCTGGGGTCCAGATAATAAACGATGAATGATTACAGACCTGTTTCATTGCAAATACTGCATGAATGTGGCTAAACAATACATCATTTAAATAGGACCATAATGCATTTTAGTATACTTTTTTTAAAACCATTTAACTTTTAATTGGCATTTTCCACATTTGTTTACATATAGAATGTACAGTAGTCCCTCGCTACTTCGCGGTTCATTTATCGCAGACTCGCGCTATTGCGGTTTTTCAAAATAAGACTGGACATGACACAATTGGCTGATTGATGGATGAGCCGCATGGTTGGCATGAAATTTTTATTTAAAATAAATTATTTTAAATTATTTAGCATCTCCTGCACCTTCGTGCAGAAAATACTGCAGGATAAACTTCCTGCTGCAGCTGATCAGCTGTTCACTGTGCAGAAAGGAGAAGTGGGCGTGGCCAAGAACGCTTGCAGGTGGCAAAGAGCAGAGGAGGCAGGGAGCTGAAATCATGACATGTGTTCTTTTAGAGCATTTAGAGTTTAGAAACATTGTTTAGAATATTGCAAGAGTGTGGTAAGGGTTTAAAATGCTTATATATATATATATATATATATATATAAAATAAACTACTACTTACTACATGTACTATTATTCCTACTTTGCGGTTTTTCACTTATTGCGGGTCTTCAGGGTATGGATCCCCCGTGATAAACGAGGGACTACTGTACATGAATAATTCACATTTAACACTACATACAAAAACGTAAGAAAAACTTCTGCTTGGGAGCTCATCTTCTAATATTTCTTTTGTGTTTTCCAGGTTGTGGAGTTCTTTCCATTTTTTTGTTGCTGCCTTTGGTTTTGAATAGTGTCCATTTCTCCCACTTTTCTTCCATTTGTGTTTGCTGTTGTCTCAGGCGATGTCATTTTTTCCATTGTGTAGATTTCTTCTATTATCCCAATCCATTGTTCATGACAAGGGGGGTCCACCTTTCCCCATTTCCTCATAATAGCTTTCTTACTAGCTATTAAGATTATCTTTATTAGATACCTATCACTTACTCTTGTCTTTTCGTTGATATTGCTAAAATTTCAAAGGTATATTACCGTGCTGCTCGTAGAAATATCATATCCTAGTATCTTCTTTGCAGTTTTATGCAGTTTTCCAAAATTGATGTATTTTAGGGTAGTTCCAAAATATACTGTATGAGTGGTCTGCATCCACTGTTCCACAATTCCTCCAGCATGTCAAGTCTGTGCCCTTACACCTATTTTTGACTTTAGGTGTGATAAAAAATTGTATCAGATTTTTCCAGGTGAATTCCCTCCACATCTGCGAATTGGAGGATGTCTGGTGTGTTTTCCACACATCTTGCCAATCCTCAACTGTAATTGTCACGTTAAGCTCCGATTCTTATTTTGCTTTTATATACTTAGATCAGTGCTTACTCATCATCAGTTTTTGGTATAAAGTAGATATGATTTATGAATGATAATATACATTATTTTACTGGCAGCCAAAAATACAGACTTCTTTATTAGGTTTAGACGTTGAAAAGTTACCAGGGCATTTCCTTAAACTACTTAAATTTTGATTAACTAAAATATGGCAAGTTAGTCTTCAAATTCAAACCTTTAGGTGTGTCTTCGTTTAGCGGCTGGAAAACCCCCATGTTGGGATTCCACGTTCCTGTGATGACATAAGCCTTTCCATCTGAGCTCTTTCCCATCGATTCCTGGGGATAAATTGGTAAACTTGATTGTTTTCTCCCCCTTTTTTAATGCATAGTAAAACATGCAACAATGAAATGACCAAAAGATGCTTTTATCTGTTTTATTGTGTATTTATTTCAACTGATCATTTACTTAAAATGAGTTTAAATGTTCATATTTTTTATTACATTTGTGCCACTGATAAACTGAGTTCCACTGAGTTCTGCTCACCATGTCAAGAAGATGCATGTCACTGTTGCAGACTTTCTGTCCAGGACTCAGAAGCATCCCAAAACACCTTAAAAAGGAAGACAAAGGAGGCACAATCAATAAATCAAAAAGTACGGACACCACCCCTGAGCTAAAACTGGACTTCAAGTTAGTTGAGTAAGGAAAAGTGGAAAACTAACATAACTCATACTGAAAAACTGTGCTTGAAAATAATTAACCATACAATATTTTCAAGTAAATCCAGTAATGCCTGGGAAGACCTGAGAATTACAATTAACTAATCTACCACTACGAACTCAACACAAGGATGAAGATTATAAAAAATAATTAAGTTTCAAACAGAATGGGTTCTACTCCTTAAAAATAATATATTCTAATGGGTTTCCATTGTTTCTAAAAATAAAGAGGGCAGGCGTCTAGCTTCCTGATAGCAACAGAGGTGTTAGAATGAAAAGAGGAAATGACCTAGTTTTTTTTAGTTTTGCTCAAACACAAACATTTAAAAAAAGAGGCAGCAGAAAACTGTAATTTAATCAGTGAAATTAGTAATACTTTGCAGAAAAAATACTGTTTACTGTATTTACGTGGCTAGATTCATGGTTTCTGTGTTATATTGCTGTTCCAACACTTTTATATTAGAGTACAAAAGCAGTCTGCTGGCTCCTCATATAAATAACATCATTAACTTAATTTTTATGTATGGGAATGTTTCTGTTCAGTGCCCTGAGAGGACTTCTGTTGTGACTTGGTGCTATATACATAAACTGAATTTAATTGAACATCTTTGTACTAGGAAAAAAATTATGGATTACTGATTTCATAAAAAAAAAAAAAAGCCAAAAATATAGACAATGTTCACTGTTTATATAGGAGGCAAGTAAGTTTAGAGAAGTTTGTGAGACTAAATCATTCATTCCCTGTGCTTTACCTGGCATTTATGAGTCAAGTGATATATATATAAATATATATATTATATATTTTTTTTTTTTAGGAAATTATATGAATACACAAACCTTTTAAGCTCATGATATTCAATCAGGAGCCCAAAAACTGTCAAAATATGTTAAATTAGGATGCAAATTTTTGCACGTAACTGACTGGAACAATTTTTTGTGAGAAAAGTGATTTCAGAACAAAATAATGACTTAACACAGTAAAACAGCTGTAACAGCCCACAACAACAGACAGTCAGTAACAGGTTACAGGTATGTCAACAAGAAATTTATGTACATTTATGTCACTGCAAAAGATGGATGAAGAGTTTTATAGACAATGTAATGTGTAAAGAACTTAATACTGCACACATGTCAAACTACAGCTCATATAGGAAATGTAAGTTGCATAATAGTCATCTAAAAAGGGCTTTAAACAAATTAATAAATGTATATGCCAGTGCAGTGATTCAGAAAATAAAATAACCTTAAGAAGTTAGTTATACCTGATCCAACTTTTGCAACAAACTTTTCTCGAGAGGCTAATTTATTTAAAACGTTTATTTTTAATGGTGTATTCTGTGATATCCATGTTTGCCTCCAACTTGTCTACAAAAAGATACCGAATGAAAAATGAAACTAAATGAAACTGAAGAGAATCTAACCTCTCGATCCCGAGCTCCTTGTTGCACATTTGTTGAACGGAAACCACCACCTTCTTCTGGACGCCATGTCGCAGCTTGAAGTAGAACTTTTCTCTGTCCTTTGGCACGGGGCTGTGGTAGGGAAGAAGAAGTGAATATACGAAGCCTGAGGTGATAAATCAGTGTTTACCCTACCATTATCCAAAGAGGGCGACCCACCCTGTCAACAGAACAGAGCGCCCTGCCTACCAAAATCCACCCTTAAGTTATGCCACTTCTGGACGGGGAGTGGAGATTGTGGCCACAGGAAAAGTGGCTTCATCCTGGCATCAGTAATGTAACAGCTATCACTACCCACTCCCATCCAACAAGCGCACTACTAAGGCCAGTAATCTAAGGGAACCACCGTACATGATGCCATTCTTTAGTGTTTAAGAGTTCTATTTCAGTTTATTCTACATTGCTGTTTATGTTTATTGTTCTCACAGTTAAAAATATGGTTTCCTCTAAATCTTAAAATATTAATACACTTATAAAACTAAGTGTATATAAAAAAAATAATTGATTTAATCTCAGTTCCCTAAAGCCTTATTCTCAGTACATTTTAGCTGCTGGTACATTTAACTCCAAAACAGATAAAAGTATACATCCATTTTGGTTCAATACAATGCATTGTGGAAATGAAAGCACCGTCTTGTTGATGTGTTTTATGGGTGAACAATCACAGCAAGATAAGATTACAGCAACACGCTAAGCTTGTCTAACCACCAACCCATCTGTCATACCAAACATCCGGTGCCGAGAAAAAAAAAAGTGTGTGTGTTTATGTTAGTATCTTGTGACTGTGTGTATGTCCACAGTTGGATCAAGTACTTGTAGTTGCCTTTGCCATCATCTTCCCTAATCTCCAGTGAGACAGTGAAGGTGTAGAGATCACCATCAGCTGGACCGGAGAGCGTTGCATCTCTGATGTCGGCCGGCCGTGCAGAACGCCGGAAGGCTGTAGAGAAACTGTACAGGATCCGGCTGACCTGGAACAACAACAAAAAAAAGAATAAAAAGATAAGCTACAGAGGAAAAAAGACCAAAGAGAAGCAAAGGAGGAGGATATTAAAGCACTACAACATAAAAATAGTTACTACAAAGAAGAGAAATGTTGTCACAAGGTGATAGCGCCCCCAGCTGGTTTCTACCGAGAAGTTCAGACAAAGTTTACAGCTACTTTTCAACTAGAAATCAAGCATCTCCGATAAAGATGTCTGCAGAGACCTGTGTTAGACTGACCGCACCAAATAAAATATAAATCATCTTTTTTGCTTTCACACCAAAAGCGGTGTTGCTGTGAGTACTGACAGTCAGCAACAGATGCTGTCTAATTTAGTTCATGGTCCAAGTTTGCATTCTGCATATTGTTCAGAGGCTGGTCTACATTCACACAAACACATCAGAAGAGCATTTAGTTCAATGCATGCAAATCTATGAGGCGTTGAGAAAATTTAGTTAGACTTTAAAGCCAAAGCAGAACTGTGAACTGGATTAAATGTTTGCAGCTCACAGCTTCCTTGATGTGGCAGGAGAAAACGTGGATCTGGAAGTCCTCAGAACTTCGGTAACTCTCCGTGAAAGAGAAACAGTCACTTTCTACGGAGCCGTCTCGTCCTCGAGCACAGAACAACACCTTGTAGAGGGGGAAGGAGGCGATCTCTGTTCCTGAGGCCTGGTCCACAATTCTAGGGTGAGGGAGATGACAAAAACATTAAATACAAAAGTCTTTTACTCTGCATTAGCTTAGGTCAAATTAGGGAAAGAGATTAAAATGTTTAATTTGTACAGTAAACAGAACGCCTCTTCAAGAAGCTGACAGTACATCAGCTGTAGTTGTATTTAAATTGTATTGTATTTAAATAACAGCAAGATATTTTAGCTGGAATTCCAATATATTTTAAGAGCAGAGCTACAGACGTCAGCATACAACGTTTTACACTTTAATAGGAATAACAAATAAAACACTACATGCCTCAGAATAACATTAAACAAGTTGTAAATATTTTTTAATTAACTGAGCTAGAGTCTTTCCTAGCGCATCAGTTGTAGCACTTTAAATTAAGCGTGACATTAAAAACATTACCTCCATTTGTGATGTCTGAAGGTGATGTCACTTTAACCCGAACATATTAAAAATTGGGACATTTCTACCTCTTGGTTGCACAGATTGTGAGGGCAGGGCAAAGCAGAAGGAACATGGAATAAATGTGATTCACTCTTAAGGTGGCAAGTACTTAATTTAATACACAGCATTACGTTCATGTTCAAATATAATCAAGACCTAAGACATACGTTCAAACTGAATTAGTGCAAGAATAGCAGCTTTTTCAGTTCAGGCTATTGTTTAATTTCCTTTTAATATATTTAAATATTTAAAGTTTCCTTTTCATCAAATGACAAGTTTTACATTTTTTTACTGGCTAACAGGCTTCAAAAGGTGATATTCTAAAAAGCACCAATTTAATGAAAAATAGGTCTGTGTAACCCTGAGTTCACCATTAATAGTGAATTTACTGTTATTAGGTAGTCATAAGGTGACAAAGCACCATGACTTTACTTAATAAAATCCCATTCAAACATTTTATATCCTACAGACTTTGAGTTAAGTGCTTTTCTGTGCTTCCTACCTCCAGTTTAATTGAACTCAACAACTTGCCATGTATTCATTTGACCAGAGACATGTTTCAGTGTCTGACCTGACAGAGCCATCTGGACCACACGGGACATGCAGGGTGATGGGAATGGGGATGGCACTCTCAGCTCGCAGGGTGGCCATTGCTCTCTGCGCTTCTGCCTCATTGCGAGGGGCTTTGACCCAAGTGCAGCCCAGGTATGAAAGCTTGTTGAACTGGACGCTGTCCTCCTCTATGGCAGTGGGACTGGGTGGTGCAGGACATACTTCTGTGGACAAATGGGAAGAGATATTACACATGTTGTATGTTAAATTACTATTTATTTACTTTAGTCTAATAAAACAATCAATTACTCACTGTCGCATTCAACAAACAAGAAGTCATGTGAACAGGAAATAACAAACAGAGACATAAAACTAGAGAAAAGTAAAGAAAAAGGTGAGTTGGTGTGACACAGGAAGTTAAGGGGTCCTCTCTGAAATGACCTCAGATCTGAAACTTTCACACTTACAAACAGGAAGCAGAACAATGTGAGCAGCAGCTGGATTTCCACTGCTGACTGGATCACTAACCTTTTCCTTCTTGCTCACTCAGCACAACTTCACAACAGTATTTTATTTTGGTTTTTTTAAGTAAAACGTGAAAAAAAAATGAAAAGAATATTAAAATAAATGCAAAAAAGCACATTTATTTCATGTGAAATATTATGGTTCCTTATAGCTATTCTGATATTTATTTTATTATACGATACTTTACTGGTCAGTAACATTCTGAACCACAAAAGAAAGTGATTTCTGCACCTCGTTTGTAGGTTAGTTAGACGACCATATAAAGGAGAACCATAACATTTTAATGTCCGACTTTCAAACTCTACTGTTTAATATTCAGACCTATAGTATGCGTTACAATAACTGGATCCAAAAATAATTTAAAACGCTGCAGAGATGTCTCAACGTACCTCGCCGTCTTGCAGGTTGTGGAGCAAAACCTTTACCTTTTGAAAACATTGCTTCCTCAACCAGTCGCCTAAAGTGAGTGACAGCAGGTGCTTCCTTTATGTGTGACACAGTAACATTAACTGTTTCACGTCACCACAGACCAGACAAGAATAAATCATGAGGTTCTTCAGACACACTCCTCTAATTTCAAACTTGTTTCTGCAGTAAATATTATTCTACAGTCTGTTTATAAAACCTACATACTGTAGGTTTGTGAAGAAACACAAGTTGTCCTTGACGTGTGTACTTCACTTAGTGTATTTAAAGTTGTCTGTAACCATTACAAATCATACAAATCCCATAGAAACAAAAAAATAAGAAAAAATATCAGCATGAAAATTAATGCCGTACAGATTTTAATTTTGTTTACCAAGATAATGGATAAATACTGGCACAAACCTGCCTTTCCTAATAAGATGCACGCACTAAATAAACATTAATCTAACAAAATACTTCAGTTAAACTCTCATAAAACGGCTTTTTGATAGAAGTATCTTGTTGTTACAACTACTCGAGACAGGAGTTTGTCCTCGACATAAAAAGATGCGATTAAAACAACTAACGAGTATCAAAACTTAAGAACGTCTGCTGCAAATTGAACCAAGAGTTTCAGCATCTACACCTTCACGATGGGTCTCTGGGACTTGGCGCTCTACATCCCCTTGCTTCTCCATCTTTTCCACGCAGCTTTTTTCTAGCTTCTCCTCCTCCTCTTCATCATCATCATCATCATCCAGCACCTCCTCCATGGCTTTTTCCAACTGATCACTTCCATTTGAAGACATCTGAGGAAGTGAGAAAAACAAGAGATTAGGGAAGGAGACAACACCACAAGGAGACAATAAAAAGAAAATAAAAGAAAAAGGATGAACAAACACAAATGGACATGCATTTATGATGAAAATAAATCAGTTTATCATCTTCTCTTTTTAGATTGAACTACTTAAAATCCAAGTATTAACATATTCAATAACTATAACTAGTTAGACACATTTGTCAAGATTATATGGGAAAGAAAAATCTAAATCCTGGATAAATTTTAACAGAAAAAAAAAAAAAAACTTGTTGCAGCCTTTTAATATTTATTTTGAAACTTTAAATCTGAGCCAAAGATTTCAGGCATTTTAAAAATGGACTATTGAACAATTACCAGATTTTTTGGACTATAAGGCGCAATTAAAATGCTTTAATTTTCTCAAAAATCGACAGTGAGCTTTATAATCCAGTCCACTTTATGAATTAATTCTGGTTGTGCTTACTGACCTCGAACCGATTTTATGTGATACAACTGAACAATATTGAGTTACTGTGAATGAGTTGAATAAAGTTTGACTTATCTGACTGTTTTGTTTCCCTTAATGCGCCTTATAATCTGGTGCTCCTTATGTATGAAAACAGACACGTTCATTGATATTGCACCTTTTAATACACCTTATAGTTCGAAAAATACGGTATAAACATTATAGGCACAACAGTCATAAGGTGACCAGTTTGATGCCAATTGTAATGAAGTTTGGATCTGACCTTGAGTCTCGGTCTGCTCTCGGAGCCCTGTGGTGACCCAGCAGAGCCGGACTGGACCAGAACAAACTCCTCACTGGTGACGGTGGCCACAGACTCTGTAGAGCTGCTGACTTTGCCCAGTAAGGAGCGGTCATCCATGGCTAGCAGGTTAACTCAGGGTCAGTAAAGTAGACCAGGTTTAGACTTGTCCCCGTTCCACCTGTCTGCCCACCTGTGCAGGAAGGCAGCCTGAATGGACAACAAAAAGGATCAGATTATTTATGTGTTCATCTGCTTCACAGCCAAAACAAACAAGAAAGCATTAACGTAAACAAAAGTCCATAAGAGTTATTTTAATGTAGTTTCCCAAGGACAAAATTATAAAATCCACATAAACATAAAATGACCAAATATTTGTTGATCACCCAGGCCAAGATGGTAGACGAGCATGGTCCACTTCTTCTTTAAAAACATGAATTTTCAGCTTTTTTTTATAAACAAATGATACAGACACAGGTTGTAAGATTGAACACTTGTATATAGCTCAGCATTCATCAGCACTGTCATACATTTCTAAAGTGCAGTTTATAGAAACAACTCCATTTAACCAATGTGCTCCACTTGTAAAGTGCAAAAATCAATCCCAAAATCCCCGATAGATTCACATGCAGATTAAACACACTCACTCTCCTGGAGCTCTCCAGTATGAAAGCAAAAGCACAGAATACAAGTCCTGTTGTTGTTTTTGTTCTTTTGGATGCGTGTGTGTGTTTGTGTGTCATATCATGACTAAGAATCTGCACCAGCATAAAAATCAACCTATCTTAAATCATCTATAAATAGTATATACTGCAAACAACAAAAAAATGACCAAATAGGAAGAAAAAAATTCCAGATGTACACTGCCTGGCCCCAAAAAAAAAAAAAAGGTCACACTAATATTTCGTTGGACCGCCTTTATCTTTGATTACAGCGTGCATTCGCTGTGGTATTGTCTCGATAAGCTTCTGCAATGTCACAAGATCTATTTCATCCAGTGTTGCATTAATTTTTCACCAAGATCTTTCATTGATGACTCGGCACTAGGCATGATGGCTGCATCACTTCACCTGCCTCTCTTCTTACCCTGATGCGCCCATCACTCTGGAACAGGGTCAATCTGGACTCAGACCACTTGACCTTCTTCCATTGCTCCAGAGCCCAATCTTTATGCTCCCTAGCAAATTGAAGCCATTTTCCCAGTTAGCCTCACTGATAAGTGGTTTTCTTAAGGCTACACAGCTGTTCAGTCCCAATCCCTTGAGTTCCCTTCATATTGTGCATGTGGAAATGTTCTTACTTTCACTATTGAACACAGCCCTGAGTGCTACAGTTGTTTTTCTTGGATTTGATTTCACCAAACGTTTAAGTGATCGCCGATCACGATCATTCAGGATTTTTTTCCGGCTGCATTTCTTCTTGGAAGACGATGGGTCCCCACTATCCTTCCAGTTTTTAATAATGCGTCGGACAGTTCTTAACCCAATTTTAGTAGTTTCTACAAACTCCTTAGATGTTTTCTCTGCTTGATGCCAATGATTTGACCCTTCTTCTCAAACAGACTGACATCTTATCCTGATGCATGCTCAAGACTGACATCTTGTCCACGACCATGCAATGTGTCTTTCAACATGGTTGTTTAAGAAATGAGAAGCAACTCGTTGCACCAGTTGGGGTTCAATAACTTGTTGTCAGCTGAAAGATAATCGTCCATGCAGTAATTATAAAATAGGAGGCTCGTACCTATTTGATTAGTTAAATCCAGGTGGCAACTTTTTTTTGGGCCAGTCAGTGTATTTGCACAATAAAAAGCTCTAAACAACATAAAAAGCAGTAGGCTAGAAATGTCCAGCAGGAAATTGTTTATAGCCAAGTCAAGATGTTCATGCTCATGTTCGGGCTCCTGTTACACCGCATTGTTTTACATTATTAGTGCTTAGCATATATCTTAGATCTTTTAGTGTACCGGTTGGCGTTCGTAGCAAATATCTTAGTGTATGTCTTAGATCCTTATATACTGCACCTTTTTTCTTTTTTGCTATTTTGGGGTGTAACTGGGACCTCATAATTTCGTTCCACCTCATGTACCACATGTGATGCGAATGACAATAAACTTGACTTGAACTGGACTTGAAATAAAGTCACAACAGTTGACTCAAGACTATTGCACAATACTGTGCAGGTATTTATTGTATACACAAATGAGAAAACAGCAAGAGGCTACGCCTAAATCTGCAGAAGCACCTTCATATAAAAGTGTACATTTGCTTATTCTGATTATAACGCAACCACCGTGAAACTACTGTTAAATCAAGTTTATGACTCAGATTTACAGCTTTGTTGTTGATTTAATAATTGTCTTTGTCTTCTTTTATGTGATGCTATGTTCCTCCTTTAGCTTGATTTAAAGATGGAAACACTGCAGGCACTATTCTCTGAAGAAATTAAGCGTAAACGTTTAGGTGTCACATTTGCAGCCAACAGCAACCTCGAAAGCGTCTTAAAACATTTTTGGTGATACTTCTTAACTAACGCAGCACTGGTAACAAACACTGAACGTCTATAATCACGTACAAACTCAACATGTTTCATCCTGCAGGCTCATTAAGAGCTGTTGGCCAAACTACAAACCAACAAGTCTTCAGGTCCAAGCAATGCACGACTTATCTGACGTTTAAAAAGTTACAAACAGAAAAATGTACTACAATAAAATGGCTATTTAATTGTTTTATTTTTTCTTAACTTATTGTAAAGTAGCGTAACTTCAGTATTTCTAAATTTGAGGCTTTAGCATAAAACTTTAAAGCTTTTTGACAGCCACCCAGAGCTGGGCTGTGACGAGGAGAGGAGCAGGCACATATTCAAATGTAAGTCGTCGAGGAGAAACACATGAAGGGCTCATTCATTCGCACACAACGCCATAAAGACAGGCACACGGAAGGCATTCATACACTCAAAACTAGACTAATTACACCCCTGACATCTCCACACACGGATACAAGCAGAGAGCAACAGAGTCATGTGCTCAATTCACAATTATCCCATTAGACAAACCCCATTATGACAAAAGAACAAAATATGTTGCCATTATTAAACGTTTTGAAGAAGCTACATAAGCAGAAGATAAGAAAAGAAACCCAACTTAATTTAGACCAAACGTTTGCTTTGGTTTTCTGTCTTCCTTTAAAGTCCAACTAGACCTTGAGCATGTGGTAAAACCACTTTCCTTATATAGAGCTACATTTCAACGCTAATAAGCTACTCAGTACTAGCTGTGCAGATGGAGGACATACCAAAATGTTTATTCACGCATACTGAACCACAAAGGCAAAGAAACAAAGCTACACTAACTTGGAGAACAACACTTCCTCTGTCAGCGTCTCTTCCTCTTTAGCCTTAAGGCACAGCAGCAAATTTGAACCCACTCATTACTACCCAGTCCCTCCAGCACAGACCCAGTTTGCTGTGGGTTTTTGGCCGTGCGGAAAGAGTGACAAGCCAGTGTGGTTGACAAATACTCACTGGAGCCGAGTAGAAAGAAACCACCAGCTTTCCATGTGTATGTGCCCGAGTTTCTTTGAGCTTAACTGACAGCGCTGACTTTAACAGAACGTGACGTTTTGTTGCATTTTGTGAACGGCGTACCGGTATTTTATTTTGGCAACAATTTTTTTTTTTAAATAACTGAAGTTCAAGTTCAAGTCAAGTTTATTGTCATTCACGTCACATGTGGTGCATGAGGTGGAACAAAATTGTGTACTCAGGGTCCCAGTTACACACAGCAAAAATACAAAGTGTAAAAAGAAATAGTATACAAGGATCTAAGATATACGCAATACGAACGCCAAATAGTACGCTAAAAGATCTAAGATATACGCTCAACACTAATAATGTAAAACAATACGGCGCATTAACAGCAGCCCGAACATGAGTCTGTGGTGAGCAAATGGGTATGAATAAATATAGCAGCATACAGTAGCAGTCAGTCAATACGGTCAGTATTTTCTCAGCCAAATAACCTCCTATGTCACTCATTGCAAACTAGATGCCTCATGTATGCAGATGCCGACCCTCTGTGATTCATAACGCTACTAGTCTTACCCAAATACCACTCTTTAGAACTGTTCTACTTATTCCAACAGTTAAGTCAGGTCCTCTATACGGTTTATTTTTGTTGAAACGTTTCGTCTTTCGTCCAAAAGACTTCATCAGTCCAAGGAGCCACAGCAAACTCAGTCTTATAAATAGCACCATCTTGTAGTGGGTCAACCAGTTTGATGGTGATAAGATGGTTTCTGCCATCCAGAGGACCCAAGTGACCTGGATTATTGAGCATGAACTTTGGTGTTTTGAACCACTTTGGCCATGGCTGCCTCAGACGAGTCAGCGGGGGAGAAGGCGGGCCTCAGAAACCATCTTAGCACCATAAAACTGGTTAAGCCACTATGTGAAGGTGCTTTTAAGGCAGTTTGTTGTGGCTCCTCGGACTGATGAAGTCTTTTGGATGACAGACGAAACGTTTCAACAAAAAGAAAACCATCCAGAGGGCCTGATTTAACGTTGTTGGATTTGTTACCCGTTGTACTTTTTCTTTTTATAAGCACAAGGTCTGAGCTACTCCACATTTCTCCAGTTTTTAATGCAATTGGTTGAGTGTTGACATTTAAAAAGTAGTGCAATAATTGTGGGTGGTTTCTGTCAATCAGTTGATTACAAAGAAATATATATGATAAGGATGTTGTTTGTTAGAACAATCTAGAAAAGCATAAGCACATACCATTTTACCTTTAAGCTTCTGCCTGGCTATAAGCTGCCCAAGAAGCCTAAAAACACCCGATAGGTTCAGCTGATTAGCAGCAGGATACATTAGGCAGTAAATGTGCATGCAACCAATACAGACAACTGTTACTCAAGAGAAAAATGACAAATAGCTGTATCATGCAAACCAACAAGGGGTAAAAGCTGTTGTGAAATGTTTATGCTTATGTTTGGCCTATAGAAGGAAATTTGCTCTGCTATAGGTTCTGTTCTGAGTCAACTCAGAGAGATCAATTTATGCTAAAATACATGATACACCCAACTCTCCTTCAAAAGCACATCATAACCCTTTCAGGGTTAGGCTGAGTCTGCCTTTAAAAACCATTTTAAAACTGTCAAGATTTAAATTTTACTTGTTTACAGTTTTGTTCTTGGTGTCTTTTTTTAGACAGTGTTCCTAACAATCACGACTCTGACTGAAGGAGTCACTTCAGCGTTTGGTTATCAAGGTGTGTGCTGGCAGCTTGCTACAATGGTGTCTCAACTGTCTAAATGAATAACTCCTTTCAGAAGTCAGGGTGTGACTTCAGCTCTGACAGAACTGGGAGTTTATTTTTCTCTACTGTAGGCGTTTATGTTACTGAAAACATGTTTTCAAAGAAAATCATCTATCTTGCCTACATTTACCCACAGTCAGTTAACAATTGAAAAATATGCATGTAATTGACTACACCGCCCTGAAGACATTTTATTTAGCATCTTATAACTCACTATGACTAAAAACAGCTTTTTGAAGTTTCAAATGAAAATTTAGAAACATAGATACTATCTATACATGTTTCTAAATTTTCATCCAACAACTACCAGTAGTATTGGGTCACTTCCTGTCAAATCAACAGCCACATTATTTTCATAGTCAAATCCAAGGGGTTATGAATTTGTTTAGGTTACATTCAAACATATTCCCGAACAAATATGACAAAAGTATACGGTTTTAACCTGAAGAGCAATAGCAGCATCAGACTTCTCCTAAGCGGTTATTTCTCTGTTGACATGTTTCTGTCATGACAAAACACAACTCTAATTAAAGAACTTATGGCAAAACAAAAAAGACTGGCCAACATCAGATGTAGCCTTAATTACTGTTTTTTTGAGATACCAACATCCTTTATTGTATTCATACACTGAAACATTCTGATTGTCAAACTGTTACATGTTTTTCTATCATCTACTGACTACTAGTTTATCAGAAACACAATTAGCTGGTAGGTGTCTGTTTCAGTTTTGTGACCGGGTGTCTTGTAACTTGTTTTTCAATGGACTAACAGTTAACACAGGCAACTCATAGCTCTATAATTCCCACCAATCAGCCAAATGACTACAGACAAAGAACAGTGTTGAGGAAGGCATTATACCAGTTTGTTAGTAATAGATCACTCACCTCAAGAGTCTAACATCTTAGTCACTCTTAAGACAAAACATTAACTGCTTACTATAAAGGGAAATTAAAGTGTGATTTTGTGAAAGACTTGGAAGTCACACCAAAAGTATTTTTTACTCAGACATTTATGAATTGTGAATCCTAAAGTGTCTGATCTATTTCTCCACTTTAACACCAAGAGATAAGTTATCCAGACATCAGTTCTGGCTCTGATCCACAAACAACAAATGTTTGAGAAAGTGTGACAACAGCTGCAGTGATGTTAGTGGGAAGAAGTGTGGCTGCATTCATGCCTGCTACACATTTGTAAGCCCCACATTTACTGTGGGGATTGAGTTAAACATACTGCAGCTCTCTGAGCCCTTTCTAAATCATATGGATGCTGATGCTTGTATCTTCACCGGATCAGACAAGTGTCGGGGTTTGACGTCGTGTTTCCCAAAACAAATTACTGCAGCAAATATAATAAAGCTGTTTATGTCCAGGCCTGACGTACAGTACAGTCAGGACATCTTCAAAAATCCAGCTTTTCTATAGCCTGCATTTTAACATGCAGTAAGGTTAAAGAAAAAGAAAAAACACGGCTTTTTAGTTGTTAAGCGCACACATCAGCAACAGATAAAGTAGACGTAAACAACACAAACAGGAAGAAAACGCGAGCGGCGAGCTAATTCATCCTGAGTTTAGTCTTAGCCGCTTTTCTATTAACAAAGACCTTTCAGTTGCCAATTTAATTTAAAGAGAATTGATGTCAGAACAGGTGAATGTGGATCAAACAGGAAGTAATACCTGTGCATGTATGTTGGACTACAGCGGCATGCTAAGGCTAGGTGTAGCTAAAGCTAACGAGCTCGAAGTCCAAAACAGTTGGACCACTCGAGAAGCTACACCGTTATACCCTGCCCGGCTCCGGAGAAAGATGCCTTGGGGTAGGGAAGAAGGAAGACAACGCTTCAGCTCTCACTGCACCGACATACAGCTCTGATATCACTAGAGGTGTTAGTAACAAAGCTGTCAACTTACTTTTTAGGAGCGTTATGGAGTTGCTTGTCATATGAAGTTCAACAAAGATCGTGTGTGTTTAAAAAGATGAATCACTCAGGAGTTTTTGGTATACGCCTTCCGCTGTGTCGCGCATGCGCGATTAACACTTCCTAAGCACAATACAGAAATTTTACATTTGCATGTATTTATTTATTGAATTGCTGATCAAAATGAATGTTATTCAGAAATTTATTGTATAGTGTATATTTCTTACTAGACAATCATTACAGTGAAATTAAACAATGATGTCCCTATAGGAAAGCTTCCAGTGTTTTGTTTTGTTTTTCAATATTGTGGTAAGTCTTTTGTTATTAATAATAAATATTATAATAACTGTTTTTGAGTGTAGTCAAAAATAAGACAAAAGCCAAACTCAAGGAGTTACAAATCTTTATTTGTCAAAAATTAACATTATTACACATTTGTTATTATAATTATTATTTACATTTTTTAGCACAGTTTTAAAAACCCTCTTTCCTTTTTTTAATATAGCAGGTTAGGTAAACAGAAAATAGTTACAATACTGATTAAATAAATTGCTGACAGTATAGATGTTCAAGTAGACAGCAACATGGAGAAATAGAGAATCCCATTCATGTGATGGTAATAATTATTTTATTAATACGCATTATTTTAACTGTTTTCTTTTTTTGTTGTTGTTGTTATTTTATTTACTTTTGGTTTACTAAACCAGCATAAACCAGTTGTAATGTGAAATTGTCTTCAAAAGTAAATTAAATAAAACTGTCACTGCATTTAGAATCTGTTTATTGATTTATAAAAAGATGACAAGCAATGCAAGCTCTTATGAAAAAGAATTGGCAAAGTGTCTTTTTTAAACACAGATGTGTGTAAATATGCTTTAAAACGCTCAGTGCTCATGACTTCTATTCAACTATGTGGTGCTGTTTGTAAAGTTACACAGTCAAAAATGAACAGCAATAGGCTATTTTAGTTTATTTAGCCTTTCATAAGAAAAAAGTTTTTTCACCATGTTATTCATACATTTATAAATGTCATAGTTCAAAACTAAATATATAATTTACAAGCTAAATGTTTAGTTTACAAACTAAATACTTGACTTGCAAGTTAAATATTTAGTTAGTAAACTTAATATTTAGGTGTAAATTAAATATTTAATTGCCAAAACTAAATATTTAATTTCCAAACTAAAAATTTAATTTCAAAGATAAACATTTAATTCCTAAACGAAACTTTAATTTGCTAACTAAATATTTAGCTCAGACCTAAATATTTATTTTCCAAGCTAAACGTTTAATTTCCAAAATAAATATTTAATTTGCTAACTAAATACTTGACTTGCAAGTTAAATATTTAGTTAGTAAACTTAATATTTAGGTGTAAATTAAATATTTAATTTCCAAAACTAAACATTTAATTTCCAAACTAAAAATTAAATTTCCAAGATAAACATTTAATTCCTAAACTAAATATTTAATTTGCTAACTAAATATTTCGGTCAGACCTAAATATTTATTTTCCAAGCTAAACATTTAATTTCCAAAATAAATATTTAATTTGCCAACTAAATATTTAACTTGCAAGTTAAGTATTTAGTTTGTAAACTAAATATTTAGCTTGTAAATAAAATATTTAGTTGGGAACTATGAGATTTATAAATGTATGAATAACATGGTGAAAATATGACTGAAAAAAAATTCTTATGAAAGACTAAATAAACCAAAAACATTGCTGTTAATTTTTGACTGTGTAACTTTACAAACAGCACCCCATATTCAGCTTCAAGATCTGAATCATTCAGTGCAGAAAAATATAAAAGGAATATCCTAGAAAAACATAAATATTTGTATGATGAGCAATGCTGTGTAAAAAAGGAGTAATGCGAAACAGATTCCAATCACACAAATGTGTACATTCACACACAAAAAAAAAAAATTAAAAATAAAACTGGGTTGATATTTGCATTGCAAAGATTCAAGAGTATTAGAGGAGTATAGTCAGGTGTGTAGACAAAATAGCTCAAACCAGTCAAATCCAGCCCTCTTAGTGGAAAATGTCCAGTTCCCAGCGTGCATCTCTCTGTCACAAACACACCGGCGTGGACAGATCACTTTTTCTTTAATATTTACACAACTTTTTGCTCCTGTAAAAGAAAAGTCAGTTTGTTTTTAACAAAGCATCCAGATTCTGTTGTCTGCAGATTTCCAAATAAGAGATTTTAAATGTCAGCATCCAAGGTCCATTTTCTGTTAAATAAAGTCTGAAAGTCTGTCCACACGTCCAGCATCTTTTGTTTACAAGGTGGACATGGTGCTCACAATAGTTCTTAAATATATAATTGTTCAATTACAAACTCTGGAAGGGAGATGAAGAGTTGTGGTCGCTATAGAGAGCTTGCATAGTGAACTCTCCTGCACACGTTCTGCAAGTCGTGTCTCTACACATCCACAAAGACACACCGTTCACAAAAAATAGATAATTTGGTATCTTTCTGCTCACCATAACAACTTTGCTACATATATTTTTTAAATCACATTATATTTTGGAAGTCAGTGGAATTCTGCAGCGCAGGAAATTGAATAAAGGTAGCCCTCTGCAGGTAAAGAAACACTAACAGTCAACAAGCTTCCCCCTTCACGTGGGAGCATAAAGGGACATTCGACCGCCTGCTGCCAAAAGGCAACAGGCGAGTGATAATGTTTTTGCCTGTGAGTGTGCATGTTTGAACAGTCTGTCTGTTAGCAAAATATCTCATGGACCACAGAATAAATTTTAATGAAACTTTCAGAATGTAATCATTTGATGTGCATGTCATTCACACCACATCGCTTCTTACGTGAACATAAAAAGCTGGGATTTAATGCTACAGTTAATCAACCTTGGGAGGGATTAATTATTTAAACTTTAAACACCAGCACTTAATCAACCCATCAGAACTTCAGGCTGTAAATAAATGTTACTTTCACAAACTTCCCAGCTGCTGCAGAATTGACATTGTGTGGTTGTCTCATTAGTGATGCTGGCTTTGTGAAGAGGGGGGTGTCTGGAAACAGGAGGCGGCTACACCTCAGTGCTGATGGCTCGGGTGTTGGTGTAGAAATCAGGAGGCCGGCCTCGCTGAGCGTCCCTCAGCAGGGGGCCTCGGACAGCAGGCAGCGGCATCGACAGCGCCTGGTTGTCGTAGTGCGTGGGCATGTAGGTGACCCGCTCCCCGCCGTTGCGCATCTCGTCAGCGGTACGGATGTAGAAGGGAGAGTCGTAGGGCGAGCAGCTGGGGCAGTAGCGGCGTTGCCCCCCAGCCGGTTTGGTGGGGTTGGAGGACTTGGGCAGCTCTGGAGGCGACAGGGACATTGGGGTGGCGATTGGTCCGTCCAGGCCAGTGAGGCTGCAGGTGTTGCAGGCGAAATGTTGCTGAGAGATGGAGCCACTGTCAGAGCCATTATTCTTACAGCAGTAGTACTACGAAGACAAAGATTTGGATTAATGACATTTTAAACAAAAATTTTAAAAAGTTGGGACGTAAAAACGTAAATTAAAAACAGAAGACAGTAGTCTGCAAACCTCATAAATCCACATTTTATTCGCATCAGCACATATTATACTTATGAAATGTTACTCCTGGCTATTCTCCTATTTAGTAAAAAGAACATGGCATCTGTGGTTTTGAAAACAATTAAAATTCAGATTAATCAACCCACAAAACAGTTTCTTACTTTATCTTATTTGAGCTTTGGCCTAGAAAAGATGGCAGCTTTTCTAAATTGTCTCCACATGGGGCTTCTTCATTGCATAACATTCAATTACTTTAAGATGTGTTGCTGCCCTCAAAGTGAAAATGACCTCTTTAAAAAAAAAAAAAGTACAATTTTATCATTAAATTGTACAATGGTAAATTCTATATGTTTACACTGAATGAAATATGAGCTTATGAGCAACAAAGTTCATGCTCAATCATCCAGGTATCAAATCCAATAATTCTCAGTTAGGTCATCTGAACCTTTTCTTTTTTATAGAGACGTTTCGCCCTCTATCCGGAGGGCTTCATCAGTCGGAGGAGTTCCAGTAAACTGTTTCCCCACCAAGCAGTAAACTTCTTAAGTGGACCAACCAGTTTGCTGGAGCTGACCCTCAGAAACCATCTTAGCTCCAGCGAATTGGTTGGTCCACTTAAGGAGTTTACTGCTTGGTGGGGAAACAGTTTACTGGAACTCCTCCGACTGATGAAGCCCTCCGGATAGAGGGCGAAACGTCTCTATATAAAAGAAACTGTCCAGATGACCTGACTGAGAATTATTGGATGAGCTTATGCAATTTTTGTTGCATTTTGTTTTAATTTACACTATACACAAAAATCAAACTTTTAAAAATTTGGGTTCTAACGTAAAATCCAAATAAATGGAAAAATGCAAATGTGATCATATTTGTATGTCCAGAGCACTATTCAGTCTCTCAAGTTTTCTCATGCCGTTATAACAAACAAAATCTGTTTTCGATGCTATTTTTGCCGAACCCTCGCCTGTTTCTTCTGCACTGTCCTCGTTCTTAACCTCTGCCTGTTGATTTAGTTTCATATATCTTGTGTGGTGACATGAATCTAGAAATAAATAAAAAAACATCTGAGTGTGTGTGAAAAGGCTGCGGCGAACTCGTACCTGGAGTCTACAGTAACAGAGCACGGCTATGATACACAGAAGTATCACTGTGGCCAGTATTCCTCCAGTTATGACAACAGTTCCAGCTGTCATCCGACCAGCTCTCCATCAAACCTTTAACAGGGGCACAGGAAGTGACATCATCAGCAGGAAGCATATCTCTGCCCAACAGTTTCATCAAAGCACACAAACCAAAAACACTATATGTACATCGTTACAGTCTATTTGTATCATACTGGTGCAAATATTAAAAGTCACTCTGTTGGTATGTGATGTAATAATATTTGGCTTTTAGGTTTAAAATAATTGTTTTATGTTTGACTTTGTTTTGCTGTGTAGCATTTTAATTTTTTAATTAACAACTGTAAATTTAGGAATCATTGTAGTTTGTTCAGCTAAAATCTACAATAAAGTGGCAACTCCCATTTGCTGCCATATTAAAGACAGCTTGTATATGTTTTAGGTTTGGTTTGTGCATTTTACATTATATGAACTTTTTTGTATTGATTATGACTTTGGTATACAGTAAATATAATTTGGCTACTATGTTCTTGTTTTAGGATCTGCATTTCAATACATCTTAGCTTGTTTAAGTATGAAAAGAAGTAACTTTATTTTATTTTGTCTATTTAATGTTAGGCCTTTGTTTTCATTTCAACGATTATTAATTATTTTTAATATTTTTTAATTATTATTATTTATTTCTTTTTAACTTGCATTGTATTTTATGTCTCATTACCAGACGTTTTGATGAGTGGCAGCTGGTGAGGTTTTTTTTTTGGTGCTGATCTCTGCAATTTGAAGCTTTCAGTTCGTATTGATGATTAAAATTATTATTTTACAGTACAGTAGTTATTTGTAAAAAACGTTTATACAGTACTTTTATTTGTTAAACAAATGCTTGGGCCTGTTAAAAGGTTTTGTTCTTTGGTTTGAATGTATTATGGAGTATTTCATTGTATAATAATTGTAAAAAAAAAAAAAAAGGTTACTACTTCACGGATTTCGCCTATCATGGGTTCTTTTTGGAACGTAACCCCTGCGAAAAACGAGGGTTCACTGTATTTATGTTTGGAGGCTTACATTAGTAGAAATAAACTCTAATTGTGATTATGTGATGATGCTGATACTCACGTTCAGCAAAGTTGCTTAACACCTGAAAGCAAACAAAGAGAGGTTTCATCATAATTTGAGAGTTATCTACATGCAGGCACAGGTAAAGTAGATAAACTCACATCAGAGGAGTGTTTGCAGATTATTTTGGTTTGCACAGCAGTCAGCTCAGGGGTTACTGATGATAATCGCACCAGTGGAAGACGAACACTGTAAAAGACCTGAGAGGAAAAGAGGCAGGAGAGATGGAAGAGAAAAAGATTTGAGTTTCTCCATGAGGTGGCACCAAAACAACAGAAAAAAAAAAATCTTGATGATACCAGTGAGTCTTCAGAGGGAAAGCACCGAGAGTCAAATTAAAAAGCAAAATCCACAGACATTTACTGAACATTTGAAGCTCTAGATTCTAAAAGCGTTAATAAATGCATGCTGAGAAACATCTCTCTTCACACCACACTGAGAAGCACACAGACACGCACATGCATCATCACGGGACAGCAGCAGTAAAAGTGATTTAGCAGCCAGAGCTCCAGCTGATTGGAGTTTTACTGTAACCTGCAGGCTGAGGCCCGAACAGGTGAAGTGAAATCTGTTACTGCTGATAAAAACATGTCCAATCTGAAGTCGGCGTGAAGGCTGGAGACTAAACTGGAGCAGGAGCAAAAAGATGCACCACATGGTGAAAAAATGTGATTTCTGCTGTTTACATTTGGTCAAACTGATGTGTGTGTTCATGTGCTATATTGTCAGGTTAATGTAACATGATGGATAAACTCTGTCAGAGCTCTTTGATTGGAAAACAGGACAATTAATTGTTAATTCAGCTGTACGGACTGCTTTACCTGCTTTCAGTCAGAGCTGACAGACTAAAAATGTGAGTGAAGGCTGTTAAATATTTATACAGAAACACATGAATAAAACATCCTTCAGAGAAATTGTTGCTGTAAGTGAGTCATGTTGGATTTACAGTAAAGATGAGCTTCCTGCTGAGTTACAGAGATAAGAAGCAGCCTCAGTCTGGACAGACTTACTAAAAATTGGACAAAAATCTGAGAAAAATCCTGCACTTCCTTCAATTTTTAAAACATTTACAGTAGTATCATAGCAAGCGTACAGCATATGACACATTAGACGCCCATTGACAAACCATTGCAGCGTTGCAGCAATTCATAGCAATGATCAGGACAACCAAAGAGCTTATATAACCTTTGACGTTGATTTTTTAAGTCAAGTCAAATGTATTTAGAAAGCACATTTAAAACAGCAGCTGCTACCAAAGTGCTTAACAATAAGATCAAGGCAGCAAATAAAAAATAACAAGATGTAATTAAAAGCATAAAAAATAAAAACATAAAAACACAAACACAATGAGAAACAATGAGATATTAATTCAAATCACACTGTGTTAAACATCAGTGAATACAGGTGTGTTTTATAGGAGAGAATTAAAAACAGGAAGTGAAGTGGCCTGTCTAATGTTGAGGGGCAGATTGTTCCAGAGTTTAGGGCCCACGACTGAAAAAGTCCGATCTCCTCTGAGCTTCTGCTTGGTTTTTGGTACAACTAAAAGCAGCTGGTCAGACGATCTCAGCGCCCGAGAAGGAACATAAGGTTGAAGTAGCTCAGAGAAGTATGAGGGTGCAAGGCCATTTATGCACTTAAATGTCAACGGGAGCATTTTAAAATCAATTCTGACATGCACAGGGAGCCAGTGAAGGGAGGACAAAACCGGTGAAATATGCTCAAACCTACAAGTTCCTGTTAAGAGCCGAGCTGCAGCATTTTGGAAAATGCATGGACTATTTTTTCAAGGTCATCTGCTCAACACGGACTTAAGCTTAGCTATCTGCCTTAACTGGAAGAAGCTTTTTTTTGTAAAACAGAGATAACCTGTTTATTAAACTTAAAACTATCCTGAGATTTGTAACAGACTGCTTAAGATATACAGTAGCTCAAGGGAGTCAAGGTTAACAGGAACACAGACAGCAGTAGAGCTAGGGCTAAACACAATGACTTCAGTTATCTGATTGTTGAAACTTAAAAAGTTTGAAGCCATGCATGCTTTGATGTCATCAAGACATTTTAACAGAGGGTGAATTGTGCATGAACTATTTGGTTTTAAGGGCAGATAAATCTGACCATCATCAGCATAGCAATGAACCGAAAGACCATGTTTCCTCAGGAAACACCCCAAGGGGAGCAGATACAGTGAAAACAGAAGGGGTCCAAGACTCGAACCTTGCGAGACCCCGCAGGAAAAAGGCAATGAAGCAAATTACACAAAACTCCTGTTGCTCAGCTAAGAATGGAACCATTCTAATGCAGCACCTGTAATCCCAACCCAGTGTTTTAACTGCAATATAAGGATACTGTGGTCAACAGTGTCAAATGCAACAGTAAGGTCCAGCAGTACAAGGATCACAAACTGACCAGAATCATTTCCTAAAGGAATGTTGTTCCAAACCTTTACCAAGGCTGTTTTGGTGCTGTGTAATTGTTTAAAACCGGACTGGAAAATCTAAAAAATTAAATTTTCATTCAAAAACTTGTTTGTCGGTAATTGAATAAAAACCATTTTCTCCAAGATTTTAGGCAGAAAGGGAAGTTTTAAGATTGGTCTGAAGTTTGATCAAGGTGAAGGGTCAAGTCCAGGTTTTTTAATTAATGGATTTACTACTGCATATTTAAAAACATTAGGAACCACACTTGTAGCAATACTGCTATTTATAATTGCAAAAACAGAGGGACCATTCATGACCTTGACCTTAGAGCTTGGGTGATGAAAAGATTACAAGTGGTGGTACAAATGTGTCAAGTTTTATTAAATCATCTTGAGTGAATCAGAAGTAATGGGCGGAACAAGAGAAAGTTTATGGACGGAGACTAAACCATAATACATTCACTTTTGACAAACCCATTGACAGACGTGTGAAATTTGCAAATCTCTTTAGAGTTTTTTCAACAGGCACTTAGACATCATTGATACAGAGTTTTCCGGCTTCTTCAGCCCTCCACCTTTCTTCATTAATGTTTTTGTAATAATCCAGTTACTTCCACTGTCTTCACAGATAAAAAGGAAATTATTTGGGCTCAAGCCAAAACTCATTAACATTTGGCGTCAACTCCATTTAAGATGGCCTCCAAAGCTTATCAACACTAAAACTCTGGCAGGGTGATGTGTATTCCATTGCTGTCTGATGTGTGTTGAGAATGTGCAAATCAATTTCTGTCAAAAACACAGAGAAACAGTAATTCTCTCCCACAGGCAGATGTGTGAATCTGTAAAAAATCATAAACTCATAAACCGAGTTTCTGCCAGAAAGTGCACTATCCTCCATTACTTCTGAAAAACAAACGGCAGCTGTCCGATCCCTAAAATGAAAATCCCTCATCTCAGCTACTGAAGCTCGTCTAGAGCTCAGTTCACTGAACAATTTTTCATAATTAAAGCCTGCGGAGTAACTGGCTTTGCAAAAGTTGAAATGATAAAGGAGTCGGTGCATCATCTGTTCTTCCCACAGACACAAAACTGTAAACACATTTGTTTTTATCTCCTGCTTACATGTTGCTTTGCAAGCACTTTGAGACAGACTTCTGGTCAGATTAATTTGGGTTTACTTCCCGTGACAAACTACCTGCGTCAGCGCACGCTCACAAACACGAGCTCGTCCAGGCAGAAAGAAAGCTGGATCACTTATCACTTGGAGTGGGCTTCATACCACAGACCCCCAGCCTGATGTGATAAACACACACACACACAAACATGTGCTTAACCTTTGCCAAATAAATCAGAGCATCCCAACAAAACATGTATTAAAGTTGACCGTTTATACTCTGTAAGAGAATAAACAAGCATTTAATCTAAAAACTACCACCACTAAAGCTCCACGGTGACTAAAAACATCAAATCATATTAAATCCTTAAAGGAGTGCGCGGAGTGCGCATCACCCGCCACCTTTCGTGAGTTTTAAACTCAAATTATCATATGATGAGAAACGACGGGAGTTTTATTTTCTGAAGGTTTTTTTGAGACCTGTCCAGTAGTTTGAGATGTTTTTCTAACATTTGGTAACAGCACCACATTTTAGGTCAATATCTGTAAAATTGAGTAAGTCGTAATGAATTTTGTATTTTTTGTTGCTGCTGTTTTGGATCAGTTGACCATGGCAGCCATCTTGATTTGTGTTCAATTTGTAGATGTTAATTCAATGATGACTTCTTGCAGGTTTCATTAAACATCGCCTCTTGGTTTATGGGATATGTTAGTAACAGCAAGACAGACTTCCAGACTTGGGCCTTTGGTCTACTGCAGCAGGCTGTAAATATAATCAGAGTCAGAATAAGCTTTATTATCATAGCACCGACGTACAGCGAGATTATATTCTGTACAGTGGTCTGAAAGATGGGCGGAGTGCATGTTGCTGCAGCTCCTAGGAGCGCAGCCCCTTATTCTTTAGATGGAAAAGGGGAAAGACCATGAGTATATGATAGTGGTATTTAAAAAAAAAGGTCTCTTCACACCTTGTCCTTGTCAGGACACGATTTAAGACATCAAAAAACTCTACCAGCAAGCATACATTTGACGACAAGATGGCGAGCTTTGTCCGTGAAGCACTTCCAGATAGCACCATAGTCCTGTTAAGATTGTAGTGAACTAGGCCTGATGTCAAAACCTTGACCTTAGGCACCTTATGGGACAGAAACTGTCATTTCATTGATTTGAATCCAGAAATACAGGTGGACCCATCCTGAGACTTTCTTTCTTGAAAATTCAAGTGAAAGAACACTCTCTTTTCTATTATCATTACTGTTTTACAAATGTTTGATAATCAAAGTGTTTTTAGTTCAAACCATTTTAGATGTTGCAGTGAACTAATCATTTTTAATTAACTGTGAAACAGTAACAATGATTTTTAATCCTCATGCAAAGTTAGAATTCATGTTAAGGTCTGTTACAGAGTAATTATGCATTTTCTGATTTTCTGTCTTTGAATGAGCAGGGTAAGTTGGTCCAAGGTTGGAGTCAAACGCAGACAAGTGTTGGAACGAGCTGTCATGTTTTTAAATCCTCTCAGACGTAAATAGAGAAGCTGGCACCTGTTGGCAGCTGTTTTCCGCCAACTCGTCCAAACATTTCTCTCTCTGTCTCTAAAAACATTTTCAATCTGTTCCATAA